ACCCAAAGGCCACGTCCACTTTCACTTTTGTTCTTTTACTCTGTTCTCCCATCTGAAAGGCTCTTCTTCCCTTCACCTGTCCAAAAATAATCACTTTAAGAACTTAGACTAAGTTTCACCTTTCCTAAGAAGCTGTTTCATTGCACTTTCTCAGTAACGTTCCCATTTTTTAAGATCTGTAATACACATATACCAAATACCTTGGCAGAATCACATTACATCCCGCAAATCATTCTGTATATACCCAAGAGCCTGGGCGCTTATAATTCTTTGTATCTCCTTCACTACCCACCATAGGTAGGTTGCACACAGTATGTCAACAGATGCCCAGGAAGTTTCAACAAAGGATAAGCATCCTTTATAAGCTAAGAATCTTTATCAGCTTAGCTACCGTTTTAGAGTAGCTGCTCGATGTTTGCCCTTCTCCACAGGCCATAAATGTTGTTCCACACAAATGAGGTTTATACCACCCAATGCTCAACAGAGCTAAGATACCACTTCCGTTCACCTCCAAGTCTTAGAAAAAGCAAAAACAAAGTGTGACATCTAACTCTTTCTTTGCATTCTCATCCTTAGAACTGACAGAACAGTTTTTTTTTCTCAACTTTATTTCTAAAGTTGGAATGTCTAAATTTTTTTCTGAGCTAGTTTCCATAAAATGAAAATGTATTTTCCAGAAAACCCATCTTTCCCCTTAACATAGTCACCTGGCCAAAACGCATCCCATTTCCCATGCCTCCACCAGAGTGTCCTTGCATCTTTTCCGTCCCCAGCTGCACCTCACATTGTCCCTCCCCAGACTCACTGGACTGGAGTATTTATCAGGCTCCTAAGAATGACTGGAGTTGGAGGTAAACTTCAAGGATGCCCAACCTGTGTTTTCAGACCCCAGCCACCTCTCTCCCAATCTCCTTCAACCCCTGTTTTCTCACTCCAGTTTACATTTCACTTGTTTACTTGTATCGTGAATTATTGTTTTGTGGGGTTATAATTACCACGTAAATCTACATTCCTCTTTGCCTTGGAGTTTAGAAGGCACTTTCATTAAATGACATTTTTTCCCCAACCCCTGATATGTCTAATACATTCCAAAGCAATTCAACTGACCTCTTGTTTTTATGAGTCTCCATCATTATTCCTTAGAATTGCGTTCACCCCACACCTTTCTTTTGATATGACCAATGCTGCTTTTACTCTTTAAACTTTCCTGTGCCAAGACATGTGGAAGTAATCCCTCAACACTATCAGCCAGATTACCCCCATCACTCCCATCTGTGCCCTTGATTTGTTCCTAAATAAAGAGGTTTCTGAAACTAATAACAAAGTGTACTGAGGGGCCATTGAATAAAGAGCACTATAACATACTTTAAGGAGAACCAACAGAGAAGAATACTCAACTCCTCAAATAAGTTTGCAATCCAATTCTGCATTGAGGGGGCCCAGAAGAACTGGTCAGCAGGATCCTGAGAGAAGAGTTTTAAGTCAATTTCAAAAGAGGTCAAAACTGGAATGTGATAGGATTTTGCCAGTTATCTCAAACCCTAAGCATTTTCCTGATATTTGCTGCATATAAACTGTACAACATATGGGGTAAGAGAGTGCTGATATTGTAAAATGCCTTATTTTTCTAGCACTTTGTAATAGACATGGCTATTTACCATTAATAAATGCTGCCATGTATAGAGAGACCCAACTTACAATTACCTGTTATTATCAATTCTGACCCAAAGCTAGCATTTTTGAAGATCAAATCTTATTCTATTTTTCTTTCAACTAGTCTTTTTACATTAGAATGATGTCAAGAGTTTGAGGAAAATACTTCAAAACACAATTTTTATATATAACTTCAAAAACAAAAAATGAGTTAAAAACTGGGCAGTAGCTAGTCTTGCTACCATACATTAATCTTCAACATAGGCACAAACATTATTAAAGAACATCATTGGCATTTGGCTATTTATATATTGCAAAATGTAACAGGAATTATAGTTTAAGTATTTTAAACACCGAAGAATATACAACAGAACTGACAGACAGTCCTATTTCAGTTTTATGAAATAATTCTTTAGACATAGCAGATTTTTCGGGGCATCTTACTTGAAATGAAAACTATCAATAAGTGAGCCCTAAAACAATGTAGTTTTATTCTAAAACTTCTCATTCCATCAGGCCACCAACAGAAGCACCCAAGGAGTAGCTACAGTTCTTTCTTTTCACACAAGTGCCAGCCTGTTTCCTTTCAGCATCACACTCTCTGGCCACAGCACAGCCTTCAACTCCTTTTAGCTGAGAAAAGACTTTATGGGCCATGTGTTTTTTCTAGGGATATGGAGCTCTCAGAATTAAGAACTACAGGGAGAGCAAAATTTTGCCAAAACTCATTCAATAAATGGCAGTGTGCTCAAAGTGAGAGAACAGGTGCCTGAGCTCCCGTCTGAAGAAAACGTTGGAGGGAGCCTTCCAATTCTGCTTCATGCCCCTGACTAAGCAGTCCTGGGAACCGCGCATTACAGACACAGAATAACACCGGCAGCCTCAGATGGACCAGAAAACCTCTTTGGCTCATCATTCACACACAGCAAACTGCGGCTCATCATTCACACACAGCAAACTGCCTTAGAACCTCTCCTTCCCTTCTGCAGTGGTAATTTACAGAGATGCAGAACTGCCATCTAGTGACTAAGAAGAAAAAGAGCAAGGTGCTTGACATGAAAAACAAAATTGCTAATTTCTTTTAAATGTGTAGGGAGTACTAAAGTTAGTGAAATTGACTCAATGCAGCACACCAAAATTACAGTGAAACTAAAACAAATGTATAGGTGAACTAATCAGTCTCTCTATGTCTCTAATATGTATCTTGATATCTGACTTTTATTAATGGTATAGTTCAAATATAATTGAATAATTTTAAAAATAAACTCCTCACTTCATCCATCTGATGATTTTAGCATGAAATTTTAGAACCCTAAATCCGTAGGGTAATTACCCATGTAAAAGTATAATTTTTATCATAGTGCAGAGAGTCTAAGGTATAAAATCAAACAGACCTGTGTTTAAATCCTGGCTCTGACCCTTTATAGAGTTTGTGAACTCAAACAAGTTAACTCTTATAAACATCATTTTCTTTCTCAGTTAAATATGAATTCTAATTGTTACTTTAATGGATTTATAGAAGATAATACAGTAAAAGAATCAGTACACAGTAAACTGGTAACTAATTCTAGTTTTCTGTATCCGTTTTAGGTCCAGTTACTTCAGGCTCTCAGGAAACATACACATATCCTCTAGGAAAAAAACCAGCCTACAGGTAAATTTATGACAAGACAAGTCAATGATTCCAAAAGTATGTGATGCCATTGCTGAGTGATTAACCTCCAAATACTGCCTGGTACCTCTCAATTAATTTATTGTATTTTCTGGCTTCCAGAGACCTCACTAGTAACTAGGAAAGGAGAAGGTATGAAATTTAAATCCATCTGTCTTATCCTTGAGTTCAAAAGCTGTAATATCAGCTGTTTGTAAGTCACCCATTCATCAGGTTTCTGCTCATTACAACATATTTTACCATGGTTCACAGCTCAAAAAAAATCAAAAATCAACAATTTTACACATACGAACATATATTGAATTAGTATAGCTGGAATCTTATAACTGGAATACATAGAGCAATATAGTATATGTTGTATCATTTGTGACAGTATAGAATACTTTTAATGTAGGTTTTCTTTGGCACTCTCTCATATAACAAGATAAGAATTTTGAAAAATCTAATAATGTATCTCAGATCACAACTTAGTCATGCCTCAAAGAAAAAAAGCTATAAAAATAATGAAAGGATATTTTGAGAACACTGTTTCTCTTAATTATTTCTGACTGCATTTCTCTTTACCTCTTTTTACCTTGCTTGATCTTATTTGCTGTTTACACTTTTAAATAACCATCAGCTGAGTCTACTGTTACTTTTCAGGTACCCAGCCTGTTTCAGGTTTCTGTTCTGACAAAAAGAAGCTGGGAAGACCTGTTTTATGACACTATCCTTAATAGTATCCTTACTCCTACGGTAACAGCCAGCATAGCTGTATTTTTAAGAGCAGTAGATTATAAAAAGTTCTCAACCAATGTTACATTCTTATTTCTCCTGCAGAGGGAGCTCAACTTTCACGTATGATGCAGGGCAGTGGCTTTTGAAAAGGGCAGTCATTTGATACCTGCAAAAATTCTCAAAAGTCATCAAGTTCTTCAATCTTACTGAGAAGAACACTTTATCCCAGATGGCCTAAGTATGTCATTACACACTAAGCAGAACCCAGGTATGAGTCTTCTCATTTTCCTCCAGAAGAAACAGATGCTCTTCTTACAGGTAATTTCTAATACTAAATTATTTTTCAAAAACATAATTGGGAGAAAGGATAAATAAATTAAAATGGTTTTACATCCACAAGAGCAACTGCTATCCACAAGTACTATTTCATGTTAAGTGTTTCCTTTCTTACAGTTCTATTTTTCTTAATAGTAAGTCCATTTGGTACCAAAAAAAGACAAAATTTGGCTTTAGTAACAGAAAAAAAAAAGTTTCTATGTAAATTAAACAGACACTAATGTTTCACCCACGAAAGCAACTTAAGAATATTACTCGATTTTAGAAAAACTCTGACAGATTTTTTTTAAGTGTAGCCATGTGACTATGAGCTTGGCCAGGCATGTCTCCACATGGCACCTCCTGAAGTGGCCGCCATTGCTTCTGGAGCCAGCTGTTGTCAGGCCCCGCACTTTGGCTGGATAGAGAATGAATGACGCAGCTTCTGAAAAGCCTGTACTCAATTCCACTTCAAGGCTGATTTTCTCTGCAAAGTCTAAATGGAAGAAAACATCCCCTTCTGCCTGACTGGATTTCCTTGCAAGCTTAGAAGGAAGTTGGGCAGATGGGAAAATAAATCAGTGTGCCACAATTCTAAGATAAGTAAGAGAGAAAAGAATTCAACATCTCATTAAGATCTTACCTGCTGAACAGCATCTGAACATTTTTTTGGAGTTTCCGAAACAGCAGATTGAGATTCTGGGTTAGAAAGGAAGAAGACAGTCAATATCTTAAAGAAGCAATTTTCCTCTGTTCTTAGTCAGAAAACAAAACTAATTAAAATACATCTTTAACCAGAAGTACCAAAAACATCCAGTTTACCTTCCAATTGTACTTCTGTATTATAAGGACATGACTACTGTCAGTATAATAAAACAAATAATGACTAATACTCGTGTCATCAGTTATTTTTAAAACTGGAATAGCCTGATGCCCATCTTGACACATCAATCACACTTGTTTTTCTCAATTGCTAGTTTCTATTTTGTGCCAGGAAGTATATGCTCAGACATTCACTTATTATTCTATTCACTTAGCTAACATCTTTACAATGATAGAAGCCAATGCAACAATCTGGAGCGATTGGATTGCCATCATCTTACCTAACTACTGATTTCAGGAAGAGAGAATGAGCAGTGTCACCAAGTAGCGCGGAGTAAAAACGGACTCTGAAGGGATCTTGCTCCTTTAGGTGGTCGTTTGAGAGTCTATGAGACTCAAGTTCATGGTGGCATAACTAAGGATTTTTTTTCTTAAGCTAGGAGACACTTTCTTCTATGTGAATCTTGCATGGAAGTTTAAAAAGAAAAATAAAAATGAAGGGCTTTCAGAACCCCCAGTGCTCCACAGATCACAGTCTGAAAGTCACCCATCTTGCCCATCCTCCCCATTTTACAGACAAGAAACCGGAAGCCCTTAATCAAGCAGATGGTGGCTGGATGGAGACTAGAACGTGGCTCCTGTCACATTGCTCCCACCACCAGCAGGCATGCAGACCAAGTACCCGACAAGAGACAGCAGTCACTCTGGGGATAATTTAGACATTCCCAGTGTAGCAGCATTTTGGTTGATATATGTGATGCTATAGAAAATGAAGGGTATTCACTACTTAAGTTTTATAATACAGCCTTCTTCCCTCTGCCCTTGCTGGACACCTCCACTGCCCCGATGTGTGGGCCTTCCACCACCCTCCACCTGCCTTCATGGTCCCCCTTCAGGGTCTCTGCAGTGGCAGATGGCTCATGTGCCCACTTCCCAAGGGCTTGCCGGGAGCCTGCCGGGAGCCCTATTTAATCCCACTGACTCTGAGCACTCCCGTTTCCTCTTACTTTCTTCCTAACATGGGACATCATGCAACTTACTACCTAATTCACTTGCCTACTTACTTATTACTCTTCGACCCACTAGAACATAAGCTCTGTGTATCTGTGTAGGCCTGCATCCTTGTAAATGTTTTTTCCCTGTTGTAGCCACAACATCTAGAATAGTGCCTGGCACACAGCAGGAGCTTAAAATATTTGCTGAATTGTAGGAGTGAACAAAAGGAGTGTTCCAGAGAATGATCACACCGTGCAAGTGGGTGCCACCATGAGGAGAGGGTCCTGGGCAGGGACAGAGGGAGGAAGGGCTTCCTAAGGGAAACGCAGATACCACTTGGCCTTAGCTACTTTCTGCACCTCAGCTAAGAGTTCTCCTCCAGGACAAAACTCCATGAGAATAGGATGAATTAGTCACTGTGGCAACAGAATATTAATAAATGACCTTAAAATATAACCATTTTCCCAAATATTACATTGAGTCAATCAAAAAGGGATTCTGCTCTCATATACTGACAAATCTCTACTCTGAATTTAACACCAGAATTAACCAATTTTGAATAAAGATCTTTAACACCAAAGTTGGCCAACAGTTCATATTAAAGCAGGTGCAAACTCAGGAACACTTTTGTTTCAGTCACCCCCAAGCCCTCCCCCCACACAGCAGACTTCGGATAAGGTCCTGAGGCTTCGGAAAAATGAGGACATATTTCTCTTCCATTTCTATTTAGATGCAGCAGGAAGAACCCAAAGGCCCTGTAGGTGGAGTGCCAAGAGCTCCTTGTATTAGAAATGCTACAATGTTGCCCAGCTTTCTTCCTATGGTCCAAGATCTGGTGACCTGTCCAAAAAGGCAAACTTCTGGGCTCTGAACAGGTCCAGTTCACCAAGACAATGAACTAGAAAGATGTCTCAATTTTCTGAATCGCACCTGAACTTTTCTCCCTCTGTCTAATTCAACAGCTACCTGAACTGAATTCATTCACCCATCTGCATCCCTCTCACTACACTTTTTATTTTCTTGAATCAGTGTGTTACAACATTCAAGAGAAATTATATCAAAATACTCCCTTCCAAATCATGAGCAGACAGGTAGGAATTTTAGAGTGTCAAGAGCTTACGATGACATATGTGTACAGAATAACTGTACTGCAAAATGAAGGGAAAAGGGATGTGAACAGCTGAGAGAAGACAGACAAATGTTGAGAAGAAGGCAAATAATAAAGAATAAAAGTAAGAAAAGAAGAAGGTATAGGGAGGAGAAAGACTAAAGAGAAGCACGAGGAGTGGCCAAAAATGCTGTGAGTAGAGAGAAGTTGGCAGGCTGGGTGCAAATAACAAGCTGGTTTCTGAGTGGCGACTCAGGGCCAGAGTCACTGGGCAGGTGAGTTTGAGAAATCCCCTCAGTTCTAACATTCTTTGATCACCCCTCACACAAACTCTGGTGGCATTTGTTACCAGCACTCTCCTCTCCCAGGATCCGGAGACTCTTTGGAGAATTGTAGCTACTAAGCCTTGGAACAGCCAGCCAGTCTCATTACATATTTATTGATCAATAGGACAGTTGCTTTTAAAAAGTCGCCCAGTGAGAACTCTTGCAAGGGTACATTTGAAACTGCCAACTCCTTCATCCACCTTCTTCACAATTAAAAAACTAGACTGCTTTTTTTTTTATAAAAACATTACCATGACAGAAAATAGGAGAAAGAACATTCCTGACAAAACTTGAAGTGTTCTAAATAATCTAAATTTTGGGGCCCCCCATAATTTCAAATACATTTCAGAAATCATCTTTATCATCATAAAAAAGCCTGTGGTGGATCAAATAAAACATACTTGGATGAGTTTTACATTTGTGGAGAGAAGACTATGAGACAATAAATAGGATATACCTCACTGCTATGCATGGAAAATAAGTCACCCCTTCAAGATATGTAAACTATGCCTTCTAAAAATGAATTAAGCAGTGTCTAAAGAACTTGAAACTTTAAAAATGCACTTATATAAAATTATTACATTACAGCTTCTTTAATGGTGTACATTGATTTGATTCAAATGTAGTCAATTTAAGTTAAAGAGAATGTATTAAACTTCATCTAAATAGCATGGCTTATAATTAGCTGTCTGATAAAGGTAGGTGTTTTATTTCTGCTATGCCATATCCTCCCAGAAATGAAGATGGGGTTAACATGTCATTTTCCTAGAAAGGGCTAACCCTAAGTTGTGCTTATTTGATTATTTAATCAATCACCTGCCCCTCATTGCCAAATAAGGATATATACATTTGCATATGTAGGAAGAAAATGCAGGCCAATTTTACCAAAAAATAAAAAATAAAAAAGAGAACTATCTGTTCTAGTACATTTCATCCCTTAATCAAGTAGAAGCTGAGAGAACTCTATCAAACTCTTCCATGGCCCTAAATTTATAGAATTTCTTCATTACCTCAACTGAATGCATATTAAAGCATTTGTACTAATCCTGGACAGAGGATGATGATACCGTACTTGGGTTAATCACACAAATCTCTTCTACTAGGAACCATCTGGAACGCTTCTTTTGGATATCAGAGGCCAGAAAAGTCATGCTTCTCTAAGATGCTTGCTTTTAATCTCATGGACACAAGGGATGATTCAGGAACCCGAGGGGTAAATTTCCAACTGCCTTTAAAAACTTCAGATCCTTCTGAAATATATTTTAATATGCTCACATCTTTATTTTACTGTTCCATCCTAAATTCCCTTCATTTTGATCTATTTTCTTTCATAATCCTTAGATATTTCGTACACCTTAGGTATTTATAAACTGATCAAATCTTTTTTTGGCACAAAGGTGAGTTACAATTCTGTCAGCCAGCATGTAAACATAATTTTTAGGATTTCTAGGCAAAAAGTCTCTACCAGCACTCCTTCTGGACACTTCTCTCCAGGAGCTTGTATGCCCAAGTTGCCTTTCAAAAAATCCACACCCCACTCGCTCTAGCAAGAAGGATCAAACCCCCCCATTCACGTCTGGACACCCTGCTTCTGTCCATAAATTTGAAATTTTAATTTAATTATATCTTTGATTTTGTGTATATCTCTTGATACTGAAACTTGGTATTGAACCCCTAAAATAGTCTGTATTTTAACACACACAAAACTCTCCCCCTCAAATGCCTGTATTAATATGCTAAGTAGGTATTTTACTTGTTTAGATCTTTTTCAACAGAAAATCTTGATTTATTCCCTCAAGTTTTAGGTATATACTATGTGCTCAGAAGTCTTAAAATGTTGGAGTCTACAAGGAAGACAGATATTGTATAAATAGCAAAATTACAATACATAAATAATTCAAATGATATAAATAATAATCAAATGCCACAGAACTCCAGAAAAAAGAACTTGGTGGGGTACAGGGGGTGGGGAGAAAATTGCATCTTATAAATGAAAACAAGTAAGAAAACAAGATAAATGGGAAGCTTTTCTTCTTCATGTTCCTGCCACCAACTTTTGAAAGACGCTGCCTCCGAATCTCCTTTCAGCTAGCCTTACCCTTCCAGGTGGCATTCTATAGACTCCAAAGGTTGATTTTTAACACCTTAGGCTCCTCTGTGGAGACAAACCAACTGGGTAGGGAGCCAAAATGGAAGCAAAATATCTCAGGAATCTGCATCCCTTCCACAGCAAGTTGGTGGGAAGGGGCACCAAGGGTTCACCTTGGCCTCTACATTCAAACTCATATAGAAGATGGCGGCTTCCTTCACCAATATACGAAGGTGGAGAAAAGACTCTTTCACAGAAGAGATTATGTAAAATCAACATAAGGTAGAAGAGGCAGCACCTCCAATCTGTACTCACTGAACCTGTGAATTAATAGCCAATATTAAGAACTGGAAGACAAAAAACAATGGCAAAAAAACAAGTTCTCAACATTCTAAGATAGAACAGTACATCTTCTTCAAAAGAAAAAAGTCATTGATTTCTGTTTACTTTGAATTAAAATTGAAAGGGGCCACATACAGCAAATAGTGGTTTTTTTAACTATGATGTCACTATACAAAAACATGTAGCAATCAGTTGTCAGGTGCATCACAAATGCTTTATTACATTAATAATTACATTATGAAAGTTTGCGATTTATATATGTGTTTTATTAAAAAAGAGTAACTGCATGCAATGTTTTCACTCTATTATTTACATTCTCTTTCTTACAACTAACCGACTGGCTGACTAGGAGGGAGAGGATAGTGTGGTCCCCTGCATGAGAATGCTCCGTGCAGTTACAGCAGGAGAAGTTTAGAAAGTGCCATTAGATCATCTGGACAAAAAGATGCAACATGTTTGATTTTATAACAGATCAAAAGAAGAAAAACAAGTCGCTATGTGGAATGGTTTTCTACTTACCTCCATCATCCTCTTCAAGAATGCATATTTTTTAAAGGAGACAAGTTATTATATTAAAATCACTTGCTCTGACATTTTCCAAGGTACATCAAATAACAAAGACAAAACTAGATAACAAACTTCCTGGTTTACAAACTAGGTACCAATTGGAACTCTCATCTTTTACCCAATGGGGAGATACTCAGACTGTCACTAATCTGGTGCTCCTCCAGTATACATCAATGACATAAAATGTTTCATAACATGTTTTAAAGTACCCTAAAACTTTAGAGGGTAGTATCAATGTTTCAGAGAAGTTGACAAAGATAGATAACACTAGAGAAGAAAAAATATCACCTTAATCAATGACATAAACACACAATATATGAACAACTGTTAAAAGAACTCTCCATGAAATGGATCAATTCTACTATATTCATACCTATTTCCTACCATTAATTTTTAACATAAATAGAAGTGTGCTTAATGTGATCAATACTTTCAGCTGTGTGCTTTTCTTTTTAAAACTAAACTTGCTTTTATACGCTTGCTTTATTTGCATCTGTAATATTTTTAGGACCCCTCATCTCTGAAGATCTTTGCATTAAGGAATCCTATACCTTGGCCCCTGATCAATTGTACTCTGTGTTGTGAGAAACTCAGAGCCCTACATGGAATGTTTCCCACTTCCTATCTCTCACTTATTGTTCATTTCAGGGAGTACAATCCACCTAGTGAACACTAAATAGTGTTTCAAAAGCATCAGACATTAAAAAGGAGATATGCTGGGTTAGGTGTAGGTCCTCATTCAGCGCCTCTCAGCATAAGGAAGAAAAGAGGTAAATGCATCCCTCCAGAGACTAGGATAGATACAGGAGGTTATGAGCACTTAGTTCCCTTTGCAGACCTTTGGGCAGGGGCCTGGATTAGATTGACACTGTGAGTCGTTGGTTTTAAAGGGAATTGGTGAGGAAGAACAGCAAGCACTTAAACCAAGCCAGACACTGCATTCTGCATGCTAATGCTATGCTTTAAAACACATAAACTCATATAATTCTTAAAACAGCCCTATGCAGTAGCTGTTATCACCATTTTACAGTTGAGGAAACTGAGTACAGTGGTTTGGAAACTTGCCCAAGGTTACAAAGCTGGAAAGTGGCCAAGCCCAAATGCCATGCTCTTTACTACACTCTTTCACTACATATGCAAATTAAGTTCCCAATAACTATCTTTCTCTCCATAGGCCAATGGGGGTGGGGGTGGGGATCAAAATTCTGAACTCTAACAACTATGCTACCATTTAGGAAAATTTGGTGAGGGAGAGATTTCTGAACAGTTCCAATGACCTTCTATTTGTTCTTCCCTTAGAGATCAGATGTCAATATTCCAGATCAGTCCACCAAGAAGTTGGGTATTTGTAAAGCCAAAATGAAAAAAAAGGGGGAAAAAAGAAATAAAACAACTAAATTCCATAAAACATTAATTCTGTACAGTGAATATACTTTCCTACTTTCAGTCTCCATATAAAGATGATGTTAATCTTATTCTATCTTCCCAGCTAACAGTACAAAATACTTCAAGACAACAAAGGGTACAATGAGAAAAAGCAAACAAAAAGAAAAATTTTAAGAAAAATAAGTATTACATCTGAGTGCTGTACAATTTTTAAGATTGGTTGAAATATAGATTTTGTAAAACTTGTATCTCTCTTGTGCCTCTCCCAGTTAGCTCTGAAAGAAAAGGAAAGGAGAACAGCACAAAGAAAGCAGAAAGGGCAAAGAGTCGGAGGGAAGAGTAAGGGGACCAGCACCTTTGAGGGTAACTGACAGAAACTTCCCTTCAGAGCTCTCTTAGCTTGAATACGACATGCACGTTTAACCCTGGGTAGTGGCTACAGCTGGATGCCTGAAGCAGTGGTTCTCAAATTAGTACATTCAGCAGTAACTGGACAATTCCATGTCCTATGCCCCAAAATTCTAACTCAACAGCCTTGAAGGTAGGGAACAGGAATTTTCAGTTTAACAGGCTTCCCAGTGACTTTACTTATCTACGGGTTGGAACCTAAGAAATACTCAGAAGAGAAATGCAGACTGACTACCCAGGGAGCCCCACACAAATATGCTTACATTACACACTTTGAGAACATTCCCTGTTCCTGGGTCCTACCTGTTTCAGCATCCTTGGGCCTGTGTTCTTCAGGGGTCTTTGAAGGTGGCCAAACAGATGGGACTCGCCTAGGAAAGTGCCCTTCTGTGTAATCCAGTGAGTGTGTAGGTTGACTGACTGCAGCCCAGGTGTAAAGCTGATCTTGCTGTATTAGAAAAAAAAAAAAATTTAAAGCTATTTTAATTGAATCATGAAAAAAATGAAGTCTTCCGGGTTGATATACTGCAACTTCATTTCCGTCATACATGTACATAGATGGGGTGTGTGTATACATGTGCATGTATACATAAAATATTAAAACAGCATTTTATACTCATCAATATAGATTCATAACAAGATCATTCTTTCACACAGTCATTTCATTTTCATAACCATATTTGTCTTAACTTCTCCTCCATAATAGAATCTAAGTCTCTTTCTTTGCTAGAAGAGGTGCCACAAGGGACTGCAGGGAATAAGATTGGAAATCCAGGTAGTCAGCTGGATGGCTCCCTGAACTAGCATCTTTGATACATTTGAATGCATGTATCTTTAAAATCTGGTGAAGCAATTTTAGCAAAGTCAAAGGACAGGCTGTACTTGGGCTGGACAATAAAAGCATCCCTGCCTTCAACAGCAAAAAGCCCAGGAAACCAACTCATCTGGGGTCCAGGTTGGGAAATGTTTGGGAAAGAAACCATGAAAAAGTAAACAAGCCTGCCAAGAGTTAGAGAATTGGACAGGATCTCCAGACAAAGAAAGCTTTTCCTCACTGCAGACCAACAGAATCTGGGCAGAATGAGAAGGCTCACAACTACATCTAGTGCCAGGGACAAAGTGGGAATCTCACAAGGGAGGCCACTCAGTGGCCTATAAATACCTTGGAAAACTGCTCATTAGGATTTCAGGACAACAAGCTCAACCATTTTAGCATGCATGTGCTCCATATATGCATGCCCTAGGTTCTCTTTGTAACATTTTCCTTACTTATAGGTATATTTCCCTATAACATACAGTAAAGCAAAGAGAATAACAGTATGGTAGCAGTCACAAGCACACTAAAAACAAAAGCCATTTATCTGGAGACTATAAAGTAAACTGAGTTAACCGTCAGACAGGCATTATTTCCACAATCTGTTTAACAAACTAATACAAGAAATTCATAGACTATTCTTCATCATCGACAGTAAGACACAATGTACAGATCTGTAGTTTAAGCTTTACCTCTGAAGACAGTTATTGGCCTTAACAGATAATTCAGATTCCTGGGATCAGCTAATAACATATCAGAAAATGTCATATTTCAGACCTCGGCAAGCACTTCAACTATTCATATCTTGATCAAGACCAGAGGCTTTGCTATTTAGCATAATGAATATCAGAAATAGCTTTTCATCGATGAAATTGGTGGTTTGTTTAATTAACATGATGTTAGAAATGAGTCCTCACTGGTGAAACTGAAGGAATTCAATTGGGTGGATGGGCAAAAACATCAGAGGATATGCTTACACAAGATCAGAGTAGGACTCTGGCTAAGGGACAGTGCTGCCTCCAGTCACTGGTTCAGGGAAATGCCTCCTTGCCTGTTGCCAACCCTTGGGCACAGAACCCTGCTCCTGCAGCACAGAAGGCTTGCATGGGGAGTGCAGTCAAGCATCTACAAAGTGGCGGGCTGCGCATTCCTTGACTCTTGCCTACAGAGCTTCCCCATCATAAGAACATACCCACTCAGCCTTGGGCTTTGTTTGCTGCATATAAGAGGCAGCACCACCTGCCAGGGGAGAAAGGATTTCACTTTGGATTTCACTATTCATTGAAATACAAAAGCACGCTAAAAGCATTCTATAAAATAACATAAACAACATTAACAAAAAAAAGTTTGGTCGGTCCCCTTGTCTTTCAGCCACACCAGAGCTGTAATGCATTACAGGACTGCGATGGCAACCTCAGAACCTCTCCATGACCTCATGGCTCCACTACCAGAAAATAAGCAAAACACACATTTCTTTCATGGTTCTTTATTGCCTTCATAAGCCAACTCTCCCACCTGACCATTATTTCAGTTTTTCGATATGCCCCACCACCACCCATCCAGCCCAAGTGATTGCTCCATGTTTTCTAAAGCTCCACTCAACTAGCCTGTCCCCAGGCCTCCCACACATGGAATCTGATCAACCTTTGGAAGTCTAGCCGAAGTCCCTCCTCACCTGAACCACCACTGAATCAGGACACTAACAGCACATCTGCCGCCTCTCATTTGACAAAGGATGATCTGCTCTCTGTGGTGGTGGCCTACCACTTTGCCAAGCATATCTCAGCTTTCCTCAGATTGACTGATAGCTCCTTCAGCATGCGAACTATATACCTACGTCCTGAAAATCTGCCCCCCACGCTGGGCAATGTTATAAGAACTGCGTACAAACCACTTCACATCTACTGAATTCACACATTTGTCAGATCAAAAGAGAATGGCTTGTCAGTATGAACAGAGGCTGTAGGCAGTAAACTCATTTTCTTCATTTGCTTAACATGGTACAAAAGGGTACTTTGTGGTCATCCTCTGGAAAACAAAGGTGTCAAGTTATCTGTCATTAATCTAAATCTACTGACAATCACACAACATAACAAAAATATGGACTAGGTAAAACACCTAGCATATAATCAGGGCCACACCCTAGACAATTCTCATACCTTTATGAAGCCTCAATGATCTCATGAGTAAGTCACAAAAAATGCCTGCCCTGGTCTTTTTTATAGGGCTGGCATGAGGCAAAGCAAATACTATGTGGCAAGATCTATGAGAACTACATGGTGTTATTCAAAAATAACACACCATGAATACTACTTGTCTTGACTTTTTAAAATCTATGTTTGATTAGAATAATCACACATTATTTCCTGTATTTAAAAAAGTCCTCTTCAGAGGAATTCAAAATCATGATCATATGTACACATCAAGACACAGAATTAGCACTAAAACTTTGCTTTATGAGAAGCTAGTTGAGCAAACTTTAGTCTCAAGTTTTCTTGGCATCTGTGCTGATTGCCACTAAGTTTTGCACATTCAATTAATAATTGCCTTGCGGCATTTCCTCACCCATTCATGAATGTCTTTTTCTCTATTGTATTTCTGTTTAACATTTCAGAAATGCATTTGCTATTTTCCCAAGTAGGGTTATAAGCTCCTTGCTCCAGTTATTGTATCAAATATCCCTTGTTTTCTCCAGGATATTATTCTGTATACATACAGATGCACAATGAGCATTAAGGAACTACAAGGGCCAAGATTAATACAAATTATCTTTTAACAAATCAAACCACAGTTTTCTATCTGTGTTAAAACAGGGATATGTTTCTCGTGGCATTACTCCACTCCCCTAAATTCTTAATATCTGTTTGACTTTTGTTGAACTGTATTATTTCTTCCTATTAAAGAAAAGAAACACAAGCTTTCTACAATAGGTAGATCAGGAGATTTAAAATCACCACTGAGAAGTGGCATAAATAGTAGTCCACAGGCCTGCTATCTCAAAAAAGAAAAAAGAAGTTACTTTTAGGAGATATGTCCCCATCTTTTAACTGTCATAAATTACAACCCTGAAAATAACTCAGACCTATAATCCACAGATTATTTTAGAGAGCCCAGTAGAAAATAACAATGTTCAAAGTTAGGCATTCTATGAGTACAGCATAGAGATATTGCTAGCCAAGATGACAGTTTGGTTATGACCTTAAAATATTTCAGGTTAAAATTTTTATGATAATGGTATATGCTAGAAAATTTCATTGCCCACTAGTCTGTATTTCAAAGCAGAGACTGAATCACTCTCTGAAGGGAACTACTGCCCCTCCCATTGCTGTCCCTATGACTCATCATGAGTGAGATGGGGTGTCCATACATGCAGTAATAAACCTTTGGGTTCCACTTTCTAAGAAGCTCTCAGCACTGCCCAAGTTCAAGTGTCTATCAAAGCCAATGGATCTATATTTGAGTGGCAAAACACAGTAACTGTATCCCAGACATTCCAGGAAATACAATCTCTCACCAAATACCAAAAGTTTGGCTGAGAAAGAAATGTAAATACATGCCCAAAAAGATGTATCTCATCCACTTCTTTATGTATACTCTACCTACCCAGAGAGTGCATACATAAAACCTACCTCAGTACCTACACCCGGCCAAACTGGCCTCAAGAATTCCTTTAACTCAACTGTGCTTGGTAGTGACCTCCAAGAAAAAAAGGCTGCAAGGTTCACCAGAAGAAAACTACCGAATATATCCATGCCATTGCACAATATTTTCTGTAGAAGGGTTCTGAAAATAAACTTATTTTTTATCTTAGAACTTAATGGCTTCATCTGAAGAATGAAATAGTTGGATGGTATTCTGAGTTTATTTGTGTTTTTTTAGTTTTATGGACCATTGTGTTGATCAAATTTGCTTTTTGTTTTCCCTATTAGAAAACCTCAAATATGTAAAAGGCCCACCTACCATGTAAGTATATATTTGTGGTTCTAGAATATATGTTTTTGATTAGCCTCATTCCTAGTTCCACTTGATGTTCCTCCCAGTTTTGTTTTGTTTTGTTTTGTTTTGTTCTCTTCACTGTGATAGCTAATTTTTATTACCTTGTGGTATCTTATTTTTCTTACTGTACATACTTTTTGGAATAAAGTGTCAATAAACACATTATTAGTATTAGGGAAATTATGGAAAATCCATTTTTTATGTTAATTTATTTGAACATTTTATAAGAATACTTGGGTGGCTAAGAGGTAGATCCACTCATAGTAGACTAAATTGTACTCACAAGATTTTGGTTTGCATCGATCATTTAATGGTTAAAAAGAAGCACAATAGCATAATTGTATAGAATTGCTTTGAGGCAAAACAAATAAAATCTAATCAATACCATATACATCAGGATCCACTGAGAATATATATATATCTTTTTCTTTGAATGTTTTATGTAATCACAGGGCACATGCATATATAAATAACACACCATAGATATCTTTAAAATCATTACATCATCTTCACACTTACAGTTTGTATTTCTGCCACAACATCTTGATTCAACTAACATTAAAATATAGCCATTTAATCACCTCTAGACAGAACACTTCAAATCAACTAAATCCCTAAATGTACTTCAAAGTGATCTT